AAAGAAACTTCACAGTGGAAAAAGAACAGACAGGATCATAAGACACAAAATACAACGTAGTGCAACAGCAATAAGAGCAGGAGGAAAAGCAAGTTAAAGCACAGAACCTCGGGGTTAGAGAGACGAACGCCGCACACGTGGCGTCGGAGCGTGTTTAAGGGATGAAAAAATACGGCGCATGGGGGTTTGTTAGAAAAGACGTTCGGGGTTTCGAACCCTCGCACCAATGAGGGTGACTCCCCTGATGCCACGAGGGGAAACTTTTCTATATATATTCTCCAGGAAAAATCGTACATCATTTATATGTATTTCGATCTCACATTTTCTCGATCTCACTTTTAAACTTGAGAAAATACTCTAGATGACGATGACGACAATGACGCTGAAATGGTTGACGATTTTTTTCTTTTTTTAAGAACATTTTTCTCCTTCACTTCACTTGGAGTCATTGAAGTACGGGTCATTGAGTAGCATAATGCCCAGAAGGAAATACTTGCAGTTTTTATGCAGCAAAAAATAAAGTTGGTCTTTTTTCAGTAAAATATGATGGTTATGAAACAAAGAGAGTTTCTTGCAGAAAAGAGGGCGCCAACGTCGTTTCGAATCCCTGCCGCGCGCTCAGGAGGACGAAGGGAATCGATTCATGCGCTCTTATATGCTAGTTCATCGTCGTCTTTATTTTTATTAAGTGAATAATCATAAATACTCACCGTCATTTAACATCAATAAAATAACTATTAATAATAAATAAACAAACAAACGTCATTATTATCTTCATTAATCGATAATTATATTAATGGAATGAATCAATAAACATTTGCTAATTTCCCCTGAAACATTATATTGACAGAAGAATGGATTATTCAAAAAATAAACTAAATATTTGACGAGTATTAAACTTTAATAATAGTCAATATGCATGTCAGTAAATTAATTGTAATGGAACTTGTGACAGTTGAGGTATTTCGATCACTCCGGGCCTTATCAAAAAAAAGGACCCAGTCCAATAGAATCAATATTTTTTATTTAAAATACATAGAAGCTTTTTGCATATTGACTAATTTGCTTTTTATTAGACTAAAATTATTATTAATAATGCTTGATTTTTCTTTGAGAAAGTATTTATTATATATGCATTTACATTTTATAATTTTTTTGCAAAAATTTAAAGAATTTATTTAAAATGAATATTAAAAAACCTAGTTATTTAGTCAATTTTCATTGGTTTCTGTGGAGAGAAGAGTGAATTTTCATTTCGAATAACTCAAGTTCTAAACAATTATTCGATTTTTTTTTTATTAAACCAAATTAAGAATAATTAAGAATTAATTATTATTACTCCTGTTAAATTATTGTTATTGTTGTTTGTCTTTGTGGTTGTATTAATGATTGTATTATTGCTATTTGTCTGTTACAAAAATGTCACATGAGACTACAAAGGATTAGAGATAAAAATCGTTGATCAGGAGGTAAAAATAATCTTAAACTTTTTCGGACACATACACCGGTTTTCTCTTGGTGATGAGGTCGCTCCTGTCGCAGCCCCCTCGACCCGAGGGGGATCGATCCGCGCTCAACGACCTGCCCCGTGGGCAGAACTCGAACCGAAATCAGAAACTCAGCACCAAAACTGAGCACGCGGCATCAACGACGCAAAAGGCTTTTTTCGTTTCTTCATCCCCCTATGTACAAATGGTTCACCCGTGCCCAAAAATAAAGGGATCCATGTACGTAGTCTCGAGGGGAATAAAACGCAATACTTTGCAGGGGGGCTCTAATGCAACCAATGATTATCCAAACTCATTGTTTGTTTTGTTCTTTAAAATAAAATACAATTTAAATGGAAATATAAAGATTAAATCTAGTGAAAATGAAAGTAAACTCAATTGAAATTGCAATGGTAAATAATTAATTAGAAAAAAGAGTAAAAATGTCGAGTAAGAAAACAAAATAAACAGAAAAAGAGAACAATCAATTTGTAGTAAAATTTTAAGAGAATAAAAATAAAGTAAAAAACATCAGTAAACGACAAGATGTCAATACATACTTAAAGAGTTAATTAAAATCGATGAGTAATTAATAATGTATTAGAAGGTTAACTGAGTACTGGTACATATTTGATAGCATTATTTTATCAATGTTAAATTGAAAAAATAAATTTGATGAAGCATACATAATGGATTTAAATTGACAAAGAATATATCCAAGGATTAAATGGAATAACAAGTTTTTTTGTCCTCTTTTATCAGTTATCCGATGGTGCTTTAGCTTGATAATAGTGAGCTTTAATTAGATTGATGGGTATGTACTCACGAACCATCTAGTGTTCGACGGGTTTTCCGCGTTGAGAATATGCATATACGCACATACATATATCTACGTAATTTTTCAAATGCACTTATGGTATTCAGTTTTTTCTTTATTATTTCAAAAAATCAAGTATTGTTCAATCGAAACATTTGAACGGACTACTATCTATGATATTTAAATAAAAAATCGTTAGGAATATTGTTAGAAGAATGTCTATGTATAAAATAAGTCAAAGCTCGGAATTTGATATTTTTTTTGGGTCCGATGGTAGACCGGAGACGCCCTCACGACTGGCTTTCGTGCGACGAGAGGGTGGAAAAACTCATATCCCCTAATGAAGTAAAACGGGATGGCGAAAGAGAAAGAGAGAAGACGAGAGAAGGAGGAGTTTGAGGTCGATGAAGAGGGTAAGAGTGAAGAGAGGGAAAATGCGCGGCGTTATTTGGAAGAGAGTTGCGGGGGCGATGGTAGGAGAGAAAGAGAAGTGAAAAAGCGTCGTGAGCAAGAGGGAGCGTCGGTGGAGGAGCGGGAATGAAAGAGGGGTAGTGAGGAGGGCAACGAGGCGACTGAGAGTCTCGCGTTTGTTGGAGGGAAAAGGAGGAGGATCGCAGCAGAACCACGATCGACGGTGACAAAGTATCCCGAGATGAGGGAAGGAAAAAGCTACCTCGTACGAATAGACGGTGCAGGCAAGAACTAAAAGGAAAGAGACATAAATGCAGCTAAATGTGCAAGATGCAAAATGCTAAGAAATGAAAATTTATTGAGCTACATTTAAATATTGTGTTTTGGAATCAATTGAGAAACAAAGGAATATGAAAGAGTAAATGTTTCATTTTGTAATGCAAGCAGGAAAGGCTAGATGTTATTGATAGTGATATGATTGTCATCTGAAATGAGTTTGGAAATGGATTGATGTTGAAATTGGTAGAGGTGCATTAGAGAATTATTAAGACAATACTCAAAGGACTGAAATTTGAGGAGAATGTGCATTAGTAGATTATGCAATTGAACATGTTGTCAACCGCTTTTAATTCGACACTCTTCAATTAATGGTCGTACGGTTAAGCTGCACATGTTGGAGCTTAGAGTTGAATAGAGTCCTTTTGAAAATTGAAAATTTATGGTTGCGTTAGGTTTTTTTTTTTTTTCAATTTATGAAAACTATAAAGTCATTGGATTAAATATTCTATTATGATTATTTTATTTCAGACTTTTTAGTTGATATATAACTAGAGATATTATAAAATAATTGAAACTTCTAGAAGTAACGATGTCATTAAATAGAATAGTGTTATATATTCAAGAGCAAAAATGAAAATTATTTTCCACCAATTAATTTAAATATTTTCTTTTCAAGTATTTAAATATTTGGTAAATAACATCTATATATTGAACATCTCTTTACAACCAATAATTCCATAAACTAATTATTTTTTTCATCAATAATATTTTATTTCGATGAAAAACATTTCTGATCATTGAAGCTTTTGTTTTGAATCACTTCTAAGGAATCTCAACATAGTTAAAAAATCATTTGAGCTTCTAATGTGTTATTTATAAGATAAAAATGATGTGTTGATAGTGTTGGAAAATTTCTGCTCATATTTTGCAGATAATGGTGATAAAGTAATAGCAGATTTACCCCTCATTGGTCCAAGTTCCCCTGATAAATTTATTAGATTAAATCTCCAATTTATCATCACGTCAATTGACGCGTTTGATGACTTTTTTTTTCATGAATGATGATCGACTTTGTATCGTCAAGCACTGATATATAAGGGACTGAATTAAAGGGTGGATTCCTTCGTTAGTCATGAAAACTTTATTACTCACTTGTGTCTGTAAAGTTTAGCCCATTTAATCACGAAAATACGACTGTAATAAAATACTAGAAACATATGATGATATTATATGTATATACATATAAATGAAAATTCATGTGTGTAGATATATATATACAGATCTACGTTTGGTAATCGCTCATTATCGTTATTACTCGACTATATATTCGTGAAATTGCTTTCAAAAAGCACTCGTCAAATTGAAGAGTTACTTCAACGACTAAATTGACAAAATAGTTGATGTGCATATGCATTTATGAATACTTACTTTTGTTGCAGCAAAAAAAATTTTCATTTTTAAATCATTATAATAAATAATCTACTGCATTGATAATGCTCAAGAATTTCATTACACTTTTTGTTAATGTTTATAATTTTACTTCATACTTTTTTTGCTTCATTAACTTTTATTGATTTTTCTGATGAAGTTATTTTGGTTAAATTTTTAACTACACATGAGACTGAAAAGTAATTATGTATTTTTCAACTTAGCACTGAAAGATTGACAAACTTTGTAAAAATAAAATTTCTAAAAAATCTAGATGTTTTCATTATTACGATTGTCAGAGATGTTTAGAACGAAAGTTTGATGGATTAAGAAGTACACTGTACTGGGTCACTATGCTGTAAAAAATCGTAAGAGTTTGTTGAATATAAAATATAATGAGAAAATATGTCAGAAGAGGACACCCAAAAGTGCATTAGAGGACAAAAATACAATCGATCCAAAATATCTGTGCTTTATTAAGCTCAAATGCCCAATGAATAGTCTAATAGATAAGTGATAAAAAAATGTTTTAAAAATATCAATGTCAATTATTTCTCTCATTTTCTCTTGTTTTTCAGGACCTCAAAGTTTTAAAAGAAAAAGGTTTATTTTTCCAACCCAGAGACCGTGTTGACATTGAAAGGGTGAGTGAAATGTTTTTCATTATATTAAATCAATTATTCTGCCAATACAACAGCGAAACTTGAAACAAAGAAAAATGTCAAACGAAATTAAAATCAAGTAACACATAACGAACGATTTGATAATAAACAAGCAACATAAATAAAATAAAAAAAACACAAAGAAATATTACTAGAACTAATTAATAATCTATTAGAAATATCTTACCTCAATTGATTTATTTTTTAATAGAAACATTTATTGACATCTGTCATTTTTGTACGTACGTACAGCTATTTTTAAACCTTCTAATATGACTTCTTAATAGAAAGTTAAAAATTATAAACAATTTATTAAATGTTATGTGCATAGATAAATATTATTCACAATCAATGTAGCAAAATTCATCAAGTCCATCATCATGTCAAAGCCGAAACTTGGTTTCTAACCATTGCAATTTCAACTCCCAAGCATGATTAATCTATATCATCTGATGATTCACGTATACACATTCGATTTCATATCATACAATGTCTCTATAACATAATCCATAGAAATATATTCCATCTGCCATAAATAGTATATTCGGTTTATTTAACAGCATAAACTAAAAAATATATACAAGCCCATTATATCGTATTGAAAGCTAAAATTGTGTAAGTGACTATCGCATTTTCTCATTCCATATGATGGAATACATTACATCTATTGGTTCATTTTGAAACTCTTGGTGCATGTGTAAAACGTAGCCACGCGCTTTTACAATTGTTTGCGATTGAAATATACCTATATGAACACAGACTGTAACGCGTCGAAAGCGGGAAACATGTATAAAATCAATGGACTTTTCGGTATTGCGCCTGACGCGATTGTCCCATCGCATTTGACTGCAGGTGCATAATGACTAATGGATACATGTGGCTGCACATATACGTATTTTGCATTTCTCTCTTGAAATGTGAACGATATACCCCAGAATAGTATTTTATTATTGCTAAAATGCAACATTTTACAACTGAAGTAATGTGTGGATACACACTATGAGGAACCAACGAATGATTATCCTAATTGATGTGATTTCCTGATGATAGTTATACTGACAGAGAAGGGGGCTTAGTGATAAGCATCATGAACATATCATCATCATTATGTATAGAATTGTGTGATTTGTTAGCATCAAAGATAGATAATATAACACAATGCAAATAGTGAATATGTTTATTAATCTGCTCTATAACAGGCATTATGGGGAACAAATAAAAACGTTTAGGTATACTCTGTATTGTCCAATTGATATTTCGCTGTTGGATGAACTCAAATGAAACAACCTCTCGCTAATTGCATGATGTTACAATGTAATACATTGAGATATATACAAATATCATTGATGGAAACGGTTGTGATATTATGGAGAGCATTGAACTGTTGGTATGAAACAATGGTCCAATTCAGCAGTGGAGATGCAAGGACATCGAAAATGATAAAAGGGATAGATGTCGTGGAGGATTCGATGCATAAGAAGAATTTTGAAGGGGCCAGAAACACTAAAATGGAAAACAGGGGAGAAAGATTATAATATAAATTAAGGCACCTTTTCGCTTCTTATATACATATATACCTGTTCTGCTAACCAATTCTCGGTGAAGGCGAAAGAGAACGAAGGGAGAAAAAGATATATGGTTGATAGTAGAAAGAGATGCAGTTTACGGGGGTGTACTGATGAATATGACAAATTATAATTTCACCTCCCTGATTTCGTAAGAGATGGAGATAGTGTTCTATACAGCAGCAACACTTGAAATATAGTGACGGCTGTTAAAATCAAGATAAAAAAATTTAAAAAAAAGCAAATGGCATCGGGATTGAAAAAAAAGGAAAAATGAATGAAAGAAGGAAAAAAAGAAAATGGTATCAAGTCTTTTTTATTTTTCACTTTCTTTTCTTTTACTTCGATCCTTATTTTCCTCGGTAACTTTATCACATTTTCAATTCTCCAACACCACCATTCCTTCCTCCCCCTCTTATCATCAGTTTCGTCGATTCATTATACAGGAGAAAACCTTCTCAAGAATATGCAGATTTTCGTGTGATTAATGATCTATCGAAATGTATTCTGATAAAAGTGAATGCCTCGTGAATATCTAAGTAACATTTCACTTAAACTTTGCATATACATATGTTATCAGGTTCTTTGTTTTCAATTGGTTTTCACCCTTTTCTCTTTTTTTTATTTTGTTCACACGCAGCACAAGCTTGTGATGATATTGAAAAGGGGTCATGGGTTTGTGAGCTTATATATATATATATGTACTATACAACAACCAAACCCAACCTAACAGACTTGGAATACACACGTGGACATAAGAAAGAGATTCACTCGAGCCACGTGGATAGCGACTTCATCTGACGTCATAAGTACATCGTTTACTTTGACGTTTGTTTTGCTAGATAGGTAGGAAGAGATTGTGTATTAAACTCGAATGGTATACCTTATTGGAAGAACAAAGTATCGTAGATGTATTCACATTTACAGTAGCTATAGAAAAGCCAATACAATTGATTTAAATTGCCGAGCAATGTACTTGGTACAATACCTGTTCACAATGTCAACAGATTGCTACAGATTTATTATACTCACTCTAATAATCGATAAAAGAATATTTCGTAAGTTATCATAAATAATTAATAATTAATTATCAGCATCAATTAGTTCAATTAATAGTAATGAAAAAATAATTATCAACATGAGAGTGTTTTTATAGTAGTTGTTTAAATAAATGAATAAATTTTTGAGGTTTATTGAAGTTGGAAATTTTTATCAACGATTATGGATATTGAAATGTTAATATTCTCTAGAGGATTTAATCAAAAGTATAAATGATATTTTTGCAATATATATTGGCAAATGAATAAGTTGAACATATTAATGAAACAAATGGAGTATATGTTGTTTATAATAATATTATTAATCACGTTTTCATGTAATAATTTGATAGCTTTTAACATGAACGTCGATCATTATATTTTTGAGCTCATTGCAAAGCCGATAAAAAATAAATTGCGAGATATAGAGGCGATTGGCGACTAGCGCGAAATTTCTGTAAAGCTCGTTCGTTAGTCCACGGATGAATACATACGTGTAATTTATGATAGACGTGTGTGAGTGTGCAACAGAGAAAGGACAGACCAATGGTGAAATCTCTCTGTCACAATATATATACTCTCACGATCAACGGAGAAATCCCTCGGCCAAAGCCACGAGCGAATCGAACCCTCACATGCACTCGAGGGAGACTCACATACATAACAGCATATACTTGACGCTTTCACAAATGCGTGTATGCTGCACATCTCCATGTATACGTATACATAGGATGGATATATTTGCCAAGTTTGGTAAGAGAGTGTGAGTTGTGTGTAGAGCATTGCCCCATCGCACCGACGCACACACTTTTACTCTGGCACAATTACCAACACAAATCGATTTTGGGTTCTCTCGCGCGCACACACTCTCCCTACCCTCAATATCCCTCTCCTTCTGAAAATCCCCCACCATCTAGTTCATCACTCGTGATACCACCCCTTTCATCGCACCCTCCATCCTACTTGCCGTTCATTTCCCTTCCTCTAATCCCCTCGTCCTCATTTACTGTCAAACTCCCTCACTCTTTCTCATTGTGTTCGCCATCTCCCTTTCTCTCTTGTTGCCCAACCCCTGTCTCCCTGGTCACCAGTTTCAATTTGTTATTTTTACATCATTTCACCTCCCCCCTCCTCCTTTTTTATGTACCTTCAGTCACGATTGTTTTCAAAGCCATTCTATCCTTCTCTGCTTAGTTTGTTGTTTATCGAAATTACCTCCTCTTTGTAAATACACATGTATCGCATTACTTTTTAGTTTTGATTGCATAAAATATATCCAGTCCATGAGCATAATCGTACATACACCGGCTATACATTTATATTATAACTAATATCATTTTTTTTAATATATCATATTCATGGATACATAAAAATAAAATAATAATTACCTTGCTAAAAATTATTTATGAAACAAAAACAACATTCGTTTCACGTTCTAGTCACATGTTTCCGTCTATTCTGATCCTAGCTTTGTCAGAGAATATTGTAGAAGAAGGGTGTTCTCCCTACTCGACGCAGAAGCATACATAGTACTATCATATACTTGTATATATTTTTAATTTATTGTTTCAATGACAATAATCATCATTATCAAGTGTAAAGTGCACTAAAAAATATTTATCTATCATAACAATAAATTAACAATCAATGTTTCCAGTTTACAACTGAGACTGGAGTTGATCAGAGATCTTTTCTCAATCTAATTTTTCATCATTTATTTCTCTCATAATTTAACAAATTTCTAGTTGGTTTTGATAATTTTGGGAGTTCTTGAAACCCGAACTAGTAAGCCTAACCAGATGTCTTATTCGATCCTTTAATTGTTCTGTTACAATTAATAAACGATTTTCAATATTTTTCACGATAATTCTTGAGTTATTATTTCGTTTTCGTTGCACCATATATATAAATACAGATGGAGGGTATATTTCTGCAACGTGGGTACGTGCTCATCTATATACATATAGCGTAGAAACTGTATATACAGATATATTTCCTATCCTGTTATATATAAGAGATGTATATATATATATATATATAGATTTAATTCTCGTTTCTCTTCCAACTCCTTTTAGCTTCCTTTCTCTTCTTATTTCTCCTCCTTCATCGGCGTCTGTGTTCTTTTTCGTTTCTCCCTCGTTTTACTGCATCTACTCGTTCGTCGTTAGCTCTAGTGCTCATGTATATGTACAGTCTGCATCTCACGTACACACGTACAAAGCTCACATAGATGGTAGTGTCTATAGAGCGAGGTAGAACGTAGTCGCCTTGTCTCGAGACCCCACCAGTCTTTCCCAATTTAGACTCGCTCTCCCCTCAATTTCAGAGAGAGCAGTTGTCGTTGTATAAGTAAGAGAAGGAGGGTGAATGTGAGTGGAAG